CCGTACCGTCCGTCGTCGTCGTCGTCGTCTCTCTCTCTCTCTCTCTCTCTCTCTCTCTCTCTCTCTCTCTCTCTCTCTCTCGTTGTCTCGAGTCCATCGAGTCCGCGATCCAACACGAGCATCGGGACTAACGACGAAGGACGAAGGTCCTCTCCGCGCGCCACCGCATTTTTGCCATCGCGGTTGTAATAACAACCGACCGAACAACCGACCGATCGACCGATCGATGTGGACTTTGCGGGACGAAGAATCGAGAAAGAGAAAGGCGCAAAGAAGAGCGGTTGAAGATCGGAAAGGGAAGAGAAGAAACGAGAAGGGTGGAAGAGACACGCGGGTTATGTGTCTGCAGCCGTAGAGACAGATCCGGACATTTAAACGCACTCGATCTCGATCTTTCTTATAGTTTCATACTATCAGTCTGTCTATCTCGTACGTTGCGTACTTCCCGGCGATGGATTTTTTTCTCTGCTTTCGTCGCGAATCAAGGACAACCACACGTGAGTCACGTCACAAAGAATCTACCTGTAACTATCTTTGAGAAATTTTTCTGTTTGAGAATTAGAAAAAAAAAGACAGTAATAATTTTTTACTACTTTTCCTTGTGCTTTGAAAAATAATAGAAAAATTCCTTCACTCTCGATTCATCCAAAGAGATAATCATCGAAAAGTTGTAAGTTAAAAGTTGTAGATAGAATGACAAATTGTAAGACCAAATTGCTCTACTCTTTCATACAAATTTTCAAGTTGTTTCAATTTTCGCAAGTTTCTTTTCGACCTAACTTGATTTAGCTAATCTGAATGCTTTTTAGAAGATTTGCGATTGTAATGCACGAGCACAAAGTAATAAATGCAGAAGACGATGAAAATGCAGTGAAATTCCACCTCGGATTCCAGAGAAGCCACAATCGTTCACGTCTAACGTGACCGAGCATTTAAACGCATCTTTAAAAGGCCCTTACGCCTTCCTTGTTGCATCGCGCGCGGATGGCAGGATATCGAAATTTTTTCACGAAAACGGAGTTTTCCGCATTTGTCGCATTCCGTTTCGTGACTTACAAAGACGTAGCCTTTTCGAGTTAGAAAAGTTTCGAAACGAAACGTAGAAATGATACGATTTCTCAAGAATATAACTTCAAGATAATAACTATCTTTACAGAATTTTATTACTGTTATTACCTGCATTTATCGGCTTTTATAATATCTAATTAATATTAATATAATTATTAATATTTCCATAATAATTATATATTTTAATTATATATATATTTTTATTATTATATTTAGATTTATACATTTTTATATATCGATCGTTATAATTTAAGAGGATTGTCAGAAAATATATACATCTTATACTATTGTCAGCACAAATACTGGAGAACAAAGTTCTAATGACAGCATGATCAGTAAAATAAAAATGTGTGCATATATAACACGTATGAGATGAGCAAAATTACATTACTTATTTTTTATAGAACACACAGACCCTTTTAGCCTTCAAAACTAATGGTCGCGGGAGGTGCACGGAGGGTGCAAATAACAGTAATAACAGATTATCTTCCTAAATAGCGCGTTTCGAGCTGCGCGCATTATTGGTGGCCTCCTCTGTATGTGTATACGCGACCTATTTAGCAACAAGAAAAAAGAAAAAGAGAGAGGTGAAATAAAGGAAAAAGGAGCGATGGTTACGTGATGGTTTCCGCTCGGTGTGCGAATTGAACGACTATGTTCATTAATACGTAGGTATGTTAACGACACACGTTGTCGGCTGTTCACCATACATACGCATATGCATGGTATGACGTGCAACGTGAGAAGCGCTTCTGTCACTTATTGTCTCACTTAGAAACGCGTTTGCGATCGTCGAAAAACTGAAGGTTTCTCAAGAAGCGAAAGCGCGAGCGAAGCACGAATAAAGAAAGATTAAAAGCAGCCGCGGGACAAATAACCTTCTTTGTCAATAATAATAATGCCGAGAAGAATTATCGACAATTTATCATTAAATTCTATCAATTTCCCCGATATTACATTAATCTCCTGTTCTTACCTCTGGCGCTGAGAGCGATGAAAGTCTGCGCGTGCCTCCGGACCATAACCGTGTCCCAGGTGCATGGCATCGACAATCTGCTGAGGATGTGCATCAGGAAGTCACCAGGCGTCACCGCGGATAGTTCCCACTTTAGTTTGGAGACGACCAGCTGTTCCCACCTCTGCAACAAAACGAGACAGATGCCGATTAACACCTCGCGATGGACTGTCGCTTTGTTCTCGCTCCACGCGACACGAGGAAAAAGGAATGTGATATATTATTTATGATTTTTTTTTTTTCATGAATAAACATTTAGACTACAGATTCTAATCAGCTTATTTTCCTCAAGAAGAACTCGATACTTATGTCGGACAATTTTAAGTTTAATTTAAAAGCGAAAATTTTTTGTCTTTGATACCAGAGCAATAAATATTTATAGAAATATATTATGTAACTGTATTATAATCGTGTTATATTTTCCATGGTTTTCCATGGCGTATATACCGTTACAAATGCGATGATATCAAGTGCGATGCGTGTGTCATTAGTAACGCAACAGTTATACACGAAATTACACGAAAAGCCATGAGAAATTCGGAGAACCGTTAGAGCCCTCCGTTTTTACCCAGAGGAAAGGAGACATTCATTTCAGTGCGGACTAGGAAAACGTGCGACTCGAGTAACGAGGAAGACATGTGTCCTTTTAAACGAAAGAACCATCTTCAGTTGTTAATAACTGCGTACAGGTGTGACGACAAATACGATCGTGCATGACGACGACAGCGGCGACATTACGTTAAAATTCACGCAGCCTTGATTTCTCTTCGTTTCGAGTATCGAAGACAGAAGAGAGAGAGAGAGAGAGAGAGAGAGAGAGAGAGAGAGAGAGAGAGAGAGAGAGAGAGAGA